CAAATAATATCATAATATTATAAATATTTATAATTAAATTTAAATAGAAACTCAAAAATTTGACTCGACTCAACTCGAACAAAATTCTAAGTTAACTCCGAGTTGTAAAATAGGATTAAATATATTTTAATTTATTAAAAGTATGACTAAATTGAGATAATATATAAAATAACAGGGACCAAATGCATGATTATATCAAAATATTTTACTCCTGTTAACGACATTTAACTTAGGATGACCACGTCTTAATTAAATAAAAATGACAATATCTTATATTTTTTAAAATCAATTACTAAAAGTGAATAAAATATAAACATAAGTGATTTTCTATGTGGTTAACCTTTATATAAAACAAAGCTAAGAAGAAGCATAATTTTCATAGAAAATATATTGACATAAATCAGCTGTAGCTAGTAGGGTTCCAGCTGTCATGCATGGGATGTGGAATTGATAAGAAAGATATTGCAACACGTGTATTGTCATATCATAAAATACTGACACGTATTGTATGTTACATCCCCTCTGCATGAACAAAAGTAATTTTTCGAAGAATTTTACGGAACATAAAATCACAACCAAGACACCAAGCTTGAATTACATATGATAGCAGCGGACGTGTTTCACGGAAAAAACAATGAAAGTTTGGCTGGCACTGTTAAATGGATGTAATTAAAGTCGGGGATTTTAGAAGCTTGTAAAAAAGTAGTCAGAAATTATAATACATGTTAGTTTTTACATGGAATTGTTTTCACTTTGTGTCTGATTGTTCCTTGAATACGACCATGACATTTTGATATATAGACTAATATAATAACGTGGAATTCAAAATGGATGTATGATTTTTAAACGATAAGAATCTCGATAATTTCAAATAAACGTTAGGGTCAATTTTCATCCACGAGTTTATATCAATCGGAAAATATTAAATTTATATGGTACATTCAAATCTATAGTCAAATCCTGTGATTGCCCAAAATTCAGTAGGCGAACCAGGACAGGCGCATAAGCAGCTTCCGAAGACGATTCAATATTTAGGAATACGTAGAAACCCAATAAAATATTCTCCACTTTCTGACATGCAGGAAGTATTTTGACAATTGTAACTTACCTGCCCCTTATGACCAGAGGAAAACAGTCAAGTCTGGCAATTGGCCAATTGCAATTCCCCCCCCCCCTAAAGTGTATTTTGTACTATTATAATGTAAAATGTACAAAATTTGGCGAACTCATTAAAAAAATCTTGAATTGTCCAGCTCAGTTGATAGAGCGCAAGGCTCTTAATCTTGTGGTCGTGGGATCGAGTTCCACTGAGGACAATTTATAACGGAGGTCTTCCACGGAAACTGATCTCAATCTGACATTGGGGGCAACCTACTACCCTATCTCCCTTTTATCCCATTACATATGAGAATAGGATCAACTAATATTAAAAAAATCTCCTTTAAGTCTAGATGGAAGAAAAAGAGTATACTCTATCGACGCCAAGGAATGATAGCTACAGAATCGACTATAAATCTCTAACAAGTACTCACAAACCAACAAAGGACACGCAAACATAGAGTCATCCTGCGATGGACACCATCAAGCAACCATCTCCCTAAATAAACAAGATGACAATGTACCAAGGAGACAATGAACCAAGAACACAATACTTCGAGCAACAATAAACGAAGAAGCATCAACCACAGCGCAGCGTTATTGGATCAAAAGACCCTTTTTAACTGAAGCACCAATATATCAGCAGCCCTCCCTGCTCCACGATCTCAACAAAATACCGAAAAACCAGAAGGCATACTGCAATAGACCCAGACAAACAAACTCACAACAACAACACAACATTCAATAACCAGAGCAGCAAAGTCTTAGAAACCAGCCAAGCCAAACAACATTGCACCAAAAGCATTCAGTGACCACAAAAAGAAGGCAATTCGAAATTCACGAACCAACATATCTCCCTCCAACTATTTTTAACACTCTTTTTGTCATTTTCAGTAATAATCTCAATTGATCAAAGGTAAGCAATTCAAGTTGAATTTTTAATTTTAATTTTCGCGATTAAGATAACTGACAAATTAATTGATACCGAAATGACAGTACAAGGGTGATAATCCTTCCTTAACTGTAACCGACTCTCGAACCCGATACATTTCTGGTAAAACACAGATCAGGTAAGATGGTGTCCGATCCACCTAACTATTTTTTAAAATGATCGGTGGCGACTTTAACTCATTATTTCAAATCAAATCCCAAGTCGAAACCCAACCGAAAGACGGCCGCTACATCACCAATAATAAATCATTTAATCAATCCTTGTAATATTCGGTGTCCAACAATTTTGATGTTCAAATACCCACACCTATCATTTTTTTCCATGAAAAAACTGATAGGGTATGGTTAATGATATTAGACTGGGCTGAAAGGTCTCTTTATTGTTCAATTAAAATTTCCAACTTTGGGACTGTATATATATATATTTTTAATGTCAGAATTTTCTCTATCAATCCTTAAAAAGATCTTGCATGTATCTTAATTAAGGATTATACAAAATGTCGATCGTATTTAAGTTATTTTAATTTATTTTTTATGTTGAGTTACCGAATGATTCACCTTAATTGATTATAGAGTTAAATAATTAAAAGATCAAAATGGGTAAATTTAGAGAATTGGCATAGAGATATCATCGAGGGGGAGTTGAACCCGCACCCTAAGAAAAAGCTTAACATATAAAATAAGTTATGATAAATTATACACTATTTATATATTAAGTTCTCTTCACTCGAAGTGCTCTCAAGACTACCCTAAATACCAAAAGACGAAATTTAAAGACGAAAACAACCCATAAATACCTTAGAAAAATAATATAATTTCGATTATCAGAGATTCTAATTAATTTATAGATCGAAAGGGTATGATCGCATCACTTAAAATTTTTCGTATTTTTATATTATTTATTGATAAATTAATTATACACTCCTTAAAACTTTAATATTTATTCTTAAATTCACTATTAACGTAAGTTATTAAATCATCCCTTACCATCAAACAATGAAAAAATCATTAACAATATGTTATCGTTATCATAAAAACACAACACACCCCAAATTTCTTCTTTTCTCTCGTTATAAATAATTGATTGAACAGTAATGAATATTTAGTTTTGTATTTTATTTGTTCTCGTGGGAAATAATCCGTTGGCTTAATCTCAAAATTGTATCAAAATTCAATATACATAGTTTCAAATTCAAAGTAATCACTAATTTGTGGATTTAATTCGTTCTATCTTGGTTGTCGACTAACACTTGTCAAGCAATACTTTTTTTTTGAATTAATCACTAGTATCTGATCTATTGACCGACTAATTTAGATTGAGTATTGCAGATGCGAGGACGACCCTCCTAACCCAGTTTGCTCCATTCACAAACGTCAGGATTCGAACATCTGATCTTGCTTAAGGGACCTAGAGCCTCTTCCCACTAGATCAACTAACTGTTGGTAACCAATACTTTTAATATAAAGGGAAAATAAAAAATAGTGCATTTCCTGTATTAGTTAATTTATAATACATTTTCCTTCAAATGGTTTACGCCAAATATAGCGAATCTTGCAAGATAAGAAACATATTATAAAAAATTAAACAATTTATTATTCTCTCTTTTTATTTTTTATTATTATTGAGGAATAGCCTCCCTAGTAAACATGGTTTTCAGAACCAGATCGGTTAGCGAACCGGTCATGCTACCGGTTCACTAGTTCAATCGGTCGAACCGGTCGAAAGAACCGGACGACGTCATAATTATTTAAAAAATTAAATAAAAATACAAAAAATATTTAATAAAAAATAATTTTTTATATCACAAATCATATTCAAAGCAAGTCATAACATATATAAGTTAAAAACCATAAAATCAAGTGAAACAAAATGATTCAAATTAACCACAACATAATATTTAAGGTAAAACATATTAAATAATAAATATAATTATCTAACTATAATTAAAAAATAAATTTGGGGTTAAAAAAATCATAACAAAATGATATTGTTTGGTTTAATTTTTTTTAAAAACAATCCCACATAGCTAAAAAACATAGAAGAACATCCCAAAAGTCTAAAGAGTAAAAATATGAGAACAAAACAATCTCACATTGCTAAGAAACATAGAAGCGCATCACAATTAACTTCTATAAATAATAGAGGTAATTTGACATTCAAAATCATGGGGCCTTTTGGTGAGCATTGAGTGAACTATTCTTTCACTTTAATCAAGCTCGAATTTTAGGCTTCAATCGAGTTTCTAATTTTTTTTGAGTTCAAGCCTTTTTGAGTTCAAGTTTCAATATTATATTTCGAGTTTGAGTTGAACTTGATAATTTTTAGCTTGTGAGTTTGAGTTGAGTTGAGTTACTTTTAAAGTTTTCAAGTTCGAGTCGAGCTCAGCAATACTCGAGTTCGACTTGGCTCGTTTAACAAACGACGTTGTTTGGTTTATTTTAAAAAAAAACAAAAATATCAGTTTTTCCCGGTTTTTAGCCAGTCCGTTTCGAACGGTTCAGCGGTTCTGGCCGGTTCACTAATAGCGGTTCAACCGGTTTAGATTGAACCAAACTAAGCAACGGTTCCCGGTTGAACCGGCCGGTCCGGTCTGATTTTCAAAACAGAGCTCGTAAAGGATAACGTTAATATTTTGGATTAAAATATTAAATTTTTAAACATGTAAGGACCAAAATTTCTTTTGTATTAGAGACTAAAATGAACTTCTAGATTGTACAAGGAATGAAATGTTCTTTTTGATAATTGTGAGATTAAATTGAACTTTTAGATATAATACAATAACTTGTAATAGAATTTAACCAAATTTTTTATGTTCATAAAATAGATCAACATAGTATTTGTATTTTTCTTGGACATCAATGTAAAATCACGTCCCTCGAAATGAAATATAAAATTCTCAGCAGCATGCCTTGATTACTCCTATAAATACGTTCAGAAACAAGCATTCATCACTACCAACCAACAAACCAAAAACAAAGAGCCGCTATTATACATGTTTCTTACTTAAATATCTGATCAAATCATCAATCAAATCTCCAATTGAATCATCATGTGTGGAGGAGCTATTATCTCTGGTTTTATTGCTCCGACGCGGTCGCGACGGCTAACGGCTGACTTCTTGTGGCCCGATCTGAAAAATTCGGAACCCAAAAAGGGGTCGGGTAAAAGGTACCCGAAGCCGGTGTTCCATTTCGCTGATGATTTTGAGGCTGACTTCCAGGACTTCAAGGATGAGGAATCTGACATCGATAACTACGATGGCGATAATGTTTTAGTTGATATCAAGCCTTTTGCTTTCTCTGCCACAAAGAAACCATCCTTAGCTGTCTCTCATGGTAAATAATAACAATAATATTGAATTCTTAGTTTTCCTTTTCATTTCTCTTTCAAATTTCGACTGTTGGAAAAAATTGAATGTTGTATTTTCTTGGAATGTGGCTAAAGATTTCTTGTTATCGAATTTCCGTAGCTTATCTGGCGTGTATTTAATTGGAGTATGCCTTATGAATGCTCTGGTTAATATGTTTTGTTAAAATTTTATAATTCTATCAAAAGGTTCAAACTTTTTTTGTGCACAGAAATTTTGTCTGTTATTCTTTTTTCAGCTGTTGATAGATTGCCTTTGTCAATGTATAAAACATTTTCCTTTCTATTATGCCTTTTTCTGCTCAAATAAATAAAGATCTGTAAGAAGAGTGGCTTTTCTACCTGCTCAAATCAACTGATTTTGTAGTGCGTCTCTTGAGAGTGATTATTGTTTCAGTCTGACTTATTTGTACGCTTCTTAGATTTTTATTCCCCTTGCGTCAAACTGGTTTTTGAAATCTTAATATGGATTAAAATCATGATTATTGTTTCAGAGCAGAAAAACCAAAGTCTTTACCTTTAGTTAATTTTTAGGAAATTGAGTTTGATAAGTCATACCTTAATCAGTACTTTTGACTTTTGAGTATAATGTTGATTACCGTGTTCTTCTCGTGGTTTTATTGCATTTGAAGGTCCTGAATTCTGTTTCCTGGTGAAAGTTATTTAATTATTTATAGGTTTCCATTAACTATAACATTTATTAATAAGATCCATGAATTTGTACAGTATTAATAAGTTTTTATTTTCGATTATGAAGGTCCGAACCCTGTAAAATCTGTGCAATTCAGAGGTCAAGCTGAGAAATGTGCAAAAAGAAAGAGGAAGAACCAGTACCGAGGAATTCGACAACGTCCATGGGGCAAATGGGCTGCTGAGATCCGAGATCCAAGGAAAGGGGTAAGGGTCTGGCTAGGTACTTTCAATACTGCTGAAGAAGCTGCTAGAGCTTATGATGCTGAGGCAACAAGAATTCGGGGTAAGAAAGCAAAGGTGAACTTCCCTGATGAGATTTCGCGTACCTCTCCAAAGCGTGCGATTAAGACAATTGATGAGAAGCCACTTCTCATGTCAAATTTGAGCCCCGTTGAACCAAATATCAACAAGAATTTCAATTGCTTGGACAAACCAGAGCAGAACTACTATGTTATCATGGATTTTGTAGAAGAGAAGGCACCGATCGATCCATTTGCATATGTGGACCCTGTTCCTGCTGCTGTAGATGTTGGATCTAAACCTTTTGCTCAATCTGACAACTCTCCCTTGTATTTCAATTCGGACGACGGAAGCAACTCCTTTGACTCTTCTGACTTTGGCTGGGGAGAACATGATGCAAAGGCTCCCCAAATATTGTCTGTTCTTAAAGCTTCTACAGAAGGCGATGAGTTTCTGGAGGATGCGAATCCTCAGAAGAAGCTGAAACCAAGTTCTGACAACGTTATGCCTACTGAAGAGAATTCTGGGAAGAGTTTGTCTGATGAGCTATTGGCTTTAGACGATCAGATTACATTCATTGAGGGAAGCTGGGATGCTTCCATTGACGCCTTTCTCAATGGAGATGCAACTCAACATGGTGCAAACCCAATGGATCTTTGGAGCTTTGATGACTTCCCTTACATGACTGCTGGTCTTTTCTGAGCAAACATGCTCTACTTGGTAGTTTTTTTTCTTCCTTTTTCCTGTAAATGAGGCGTGTAAATGAAGCTTCACCCCAACCCCCTGACAGCCGCTATATCAGCTGTGTTATCTATAACATTATTTTCATTTTTATGGAAGAATGTTCAGCTGTTTATATCTCGCTTTTGCCTTTTGTTTTTCTTGTTTACTTCTCAGGAATTTGCCAATCTGTTGTCAAGTTTGAGTTAATAAGAGGCTTTAGTATGTTTCATTTCTTTTGTGTCGAACATCGACTGCATCTCGGACCATGTTTGACTCAAAATGAAATGAGGAAAGAAGATGAATTCATCTTTGCCATTTGTTTCTCCTATACCCCATTCTGGGTTTTTTTCAATAGGGTGCTGTCGTAACCGGTTTTCGTCCGGGCACGAAATATTAAATTTTGACGGGGAAATTGATGTTAATAAATAATTTTGAGAATAATTTGTGAGTCGCCATCGACCTTTTAGATTAGGTAGGTCGAATACCTAAAAATTTTCTTTTAAAATAGTTTTTAAGAAAACCATATTTAAAAGATGAACTGATCTGCGTTTTTATAACCAAAAATTCGTTCTTTTTAATAATAAAAAGGGATTCGTGGTCGGTTACGTTTAGGGAAGGATTAGCACCCCTACAACGCCCAAAATTGGTACTTTTTAATTATAAATTGTCTCTATTATTAAAAATTTAAAAATTCAAAAATATATTTAATTTATAATCTTATAATTTTAAAATTGTAAAAAAAAAATATTTATTTATTTAAAAATATCCGAAAAGAACTTCTAGGTGCCTTAAGACAGCTCTTTTCTTTGATATTGATAAATATTAGTTTTTAAATAATATTATTTAATTTTTAATTATAAAATATCAGAATAGGACATCCAGTTGTATTAAGACTGTCCTTTTCTTCGATATCAAAAATAAAAAATAATTTAACAGTATAATAAAATAAAAATATCACTAAAATAATATATTTTAAACAATAAAATGAAAACATATAAAATAATTAAATTATGAATAAAATTAAATCTAATTCCTAATTAATTGAAATTATAGGGACTAAATATTTTATTTTCTAATTTTAATAACTTAGTGACTAAAATGAATTTATTTAAAAATCAAATTTTAAAATAAAATTAATTAAAAATATGAACTAGGGATGAAAACTTTATTTATTAAAATTAAAGGATTAAATCTGTTATTTATCCTAAATATATTATTTTAATAAAAAGGACTAAAATGAATAAATTTAAAATTCGAAGACTGAACTAAAAATATTAAAAATTCAATTTAGTGACTAAAATGTAAAGTTTACAAGTACTAAGGACTGCGGAAGGGATTTAACTATTTTGTAATTACGCGCATAGTCCTTCCCGAAACGACGTCGTTCGGGAAGGACTATAAATGTCAAATATCGGCTGGCCCGAAGGGCCAACCATTTCATTCCTCATTTCCTTCTCTCTCTCTAAACCGAGAGAGTTTCAAACTCTCTGCCTTCTCTCTAGGTTTCCCTCACCGGAGGGAAACCGGCAGCCATAGGCCACCGTACTCCGCCGTCGGCCACCGCCGCCGGCCACCGTAACGGTGGTCGGAATTCACCAAAAACACCCCCAAATTGTAGATCTAAATGCCCTAAGACCGATTCCGGTCTTTGTTTTCTCTAAAAGACTCCTAATCGGAGTAAATCTAAACAAAACCGAAGGGTTCTACCTTCTTAAACGGCGGTTTGGCAACGTTTGGCTTCCGAGGGCTACAAAGGCTTCAAGGGTAAGTCTTCTTCTTCTCTTTCCTTTGGTTTACTGCTGTGGTTGCTATTCGTTGTTTGTTGTATCCTCTGTTTTTTTTCTGTTGTTGGCTGTCTCGGTTCCTCCTTTTTTTTTTCGCAGGTGGGTGGTGGCTTTTATAGCCACCACCGGTGCGGTCATCGGACTGGTCCGAAGAGGGGGCTTCGGTGAGTCACCGGACTACCAGTGGTGACTCACCCGTAGCCTTAGCGTGGACGGCCGGCGTTGATCTTCTGGAAGCATCATTCGGGACGTGGCAGCGGCGGAGGCGGTGAGGGCTTCTGGAAGCAGCAGCGGCGGCGGTGGACGTGTCCCTAGGGTATAGATACCCTAGGGTTTCCTCTGGCAAATGATGGACCGTTGGATCAAACCAGATCCAACGGTTGAGATTGAAGATGGCGGCTGGCGGCTGGCTAGATTAGGGTTAGGGAACCCTAACTGGAAACCCAAATATTTAGGGTTTCCGGTTGGATTTGGACCGGTTTCAGTTGGTTTGTAACTGAGCCGGTTTAATTGTAACTGGTTTGTATTTAATATATTTAATAATAAAAATAATAATAATAATATTAATAATAATATTAATAATGATAATAATAATAATAATAATAATAATAATAATAATAATAATAATAATAATAATAATAATAATAATAATAATATGGATAAAAATTTAGTATCTTCAGCTGCCCCTCTTTGCTCATTCTTGTGTTAACAAGAATAGGGCAAAGATAAAAAGATAATAAAAATTTTTATCCATTTGACTTTACTTTGATCATGATGGAGATATTGAATAAATTCTTCTTTTTCTCCAAATAAGTTCTTCTTATTATGAACTCTCTGCTGGGGATGATGATGACCTCCTTTCTGTGATAGAGTCATTCAAAAGGTTGAATAAACTCTTGATGAGTTCTTCTCATTATGAACTTTCTCTTCTTTCTTCAGATGATATCAAACAAAGGTTGAACAAGCTCTTCTCATTATGAACTTCTTCTTCCTTCTTCAGATGAGTTCTTCTCATTCATGAACTTTCTTTGGCCATGTTGATCCATCAAATGATGAATTTAAACAAAAAAGTTGAACAAGTTCTTCTCATTATGAACTTCTTCTTCCTTCTTCAGATGAGTTCTTCTCATTATGAACTTTCTCTGGAAAATATGATCCACCAAATGATGGATTCAGGTAAAAGGTTGAACAAATTCTTCTCATTATGAACTTCTTCTTCCTTCTTCAGATGATATCAAACAAAGGTTGAACAAGCTCTTCTCATTATGAACTTCTTCTTCCTTCTTCAGATGAGTTCTTCTCATTCATGAATTTTCTTTGGCCATGTTGATCCATCAAATGATGAATTTAAACAAAAAAGTTGAACAAGTTCTTCTCATTATGAACTTCTTCTTCCTTCTTCAGATGAGTTCTTCTCATTATGAACTTTCTCTGGAAAATATGATCCACCAAATGATGGATTCAGGTAAAAGGTTGAACAAATTCTTCTCATTATGAACTTCTTCTTCCTTCTTCAGATGATATCAAACAAAGGTTGAACAAGCTCTTCTCATTATGAACTTCTTCTTCCTTCTTCAGATGAGTTCTTCTCATTCATGAATTTTCTTTGGCCATGTTGATCCATCAAATGATGAATTTAAACAAAAAAGTTGAACAAGTTCTTCTCATTATGAACTTCTTCTTCCTTCTTCAGATGAGTTCTTCTCATTATGAACTTTCTCTGGAAAATATGATCCACCAAATGATGGATTCAGGTAAAAGGTTGAACAAATTCTTCTCATTATGAACTTCTTCTTCCTTCTTCAGATGACGAGTTCTTCTCATTATGAACTTTCTCTGGAAATGTTGATCCATCAAGTGATGAATTCAAATAAAAGGTTGAACAAGTTCTTCTCATTATGAACTTCTTCTTTTTTCTTCAGATGAGTTCTTCTCATTATGAACTCGAACTGGTAATGCTGAATCCTCGAATGATGAATTTAAGCGAAAAGTTGAACAAGTTCTTCTCATTATGAACTTCTTCTTTTTTCTTCAGATGAGATCTTCTCATTATGAACTCGAACTGGTAATGCTGATCCATCGAATGATGGATTTGAGCAAAAGGTTGAACAAATTCTTCTCATTATGAATTTCTTCTTCCTTCTTCAGATGAGTTCTTCTCATTATGAACTCGACCTGGAATGTTGATCCATTGAATGATGGATTTAAACTTTGCTAAAATCTTTGAAATTCCTGTCAAATATTCAACATGGGTAAAATGAATGAAAATGTTCCTATTTTGCAAATGTCTAAATATGATGCATGAATGTTGATGCAATCTTCGTTTAACTTCAAAATGGTGAACTCGGTTTTCCTCCACTTCATCATTTATTGCCAGGGTCACCTCTGGATATCAGTGTAGCAACTTATGCTATCAAGCTTTCATTTCTGAAGAACCATCTGATCAACTTGTATCTTTATGTCTTCTTTGCTTCATGAAAGTCTTAGAAGAATTGTTTCATTTGTGGAACTCTTGTCGTAGTCAGAACTATGACCTTGATGCCCCATTTTGTCTTGGATAAAACCAACTTTCTTTGCTTGGAGTTGTGCAGAAATCCGATAAAGCTTTCATCTTTGAAAAGAGAATATGTCATCTTTAAAAAGGGAATCTATCATCTTTGAAAAGAGAATCTATCATCTTTGAAGAGTGTAGATGTAGATATGTCTGACTCAACAGGGATTAATTAGGAGAGTAGAGTATGTTCTAATTTAACTCTTGAAACATATCACAAGGAAGATTTATTTCAATTCCTTTCATGTCTCCATATATAATCAGATCTCGAATAAGACAACTTGGATCATATCATGTCGAGATGTTTAACAACAACCTGTCGTTCAACCTTAGTTGGTGCCACTAGTTTCTTGTTGTTAAAATTTCTGCTTCCCTTCTGTGGAAAGAAATCTTCATTATATCTCACTTCTAATCTTGGGGTGGAAGAAGACAGACTTGATCAATAAATGGAAACCATATGATCGTAACATTGGTTCAACATCAGAATAGCAGGTTCGTAAAACATTTGACGGCGCATTCATCCTTTCCTGTAGTTTCTGCTCAGATGTTCGTAAAACATTTGACAACACATTCATCTTTTCCTGTGGTTTCTGCTCAGATGTTCTCAATCATTGAAGCTCTTTGCCTAGTGTTCAAAGCTTTTGAATGACGTCACAAGACCACTTGAGAACAAAACTCAGTGGGAATACAAATGAGATATTGGTATGGCCAAAAAGTTGCTCAAATCCACAAGATATGCTAGTATCGAATTGAATAAGAAATACCAACTGATCTTGATATCATCTCGGGCAA